TAGTTACTGCCACTGCTGTACCCAAATGTACCCTATAGTTTCCAGACAATAGGGTGGTCCAGTAAGAAAGATCAGTATGAAAGTGATCCTACTCCTGTAAAGCCAGCACAGCGTACTTATTTTTCTAATGGTGAGACTATTTTTCTAATAGTGTCATCTTCCTTAGTAGCACTACTGAGGCACCTTGCTCTTCCCTATGTTTTTAATTCTGCCCTGCCCCTCAACGGTCAGCTTAGAGTCACCTTCCCCCTTTTAAACACTTAATTAATCTGCTGTTAGCAACTCCCAATTTCTGTTTTTAAGTCTGTCTCTTTTGAATTCTCCTTCCAGCTAGCTATGCAATTGTGAGCAAGTCACTGTACCTCTCTGGTCCTGGTTACCTCGTCTGTAAAAATGAGCTCACTAGATTTGGCTTGAGGTCTACTTTACCACTGATGCCAAGTGTCTGGTACAGTGCATGACTTGTTAACTGAGGTGAATGGGAGATGCAGTTTCTGCCTTCATGGATATGAGTTCAAAGGATGAGAAGTAACTAGCCATATAAATCAAGGAGGGGGAGAATATCTGAGGTGGAGAGAACAGGATATGCAGAGGCTCTGAGTTAGGAAGGAAGTTAATGTTTTAAGGGACCAACAGTGAGCCCTCATGGCTGGAGTAAAATACATGAAGGGGAGACACGTGTTTGAAATAATTTATGAGACAAAACTATCAGCCAGAAAATTATCGGTAGCTACAGAAGGCTCTAAGCATTTAAGGTGTGAGCAAAGGATTTGGTAGTATGACATTTCACACCAAGTTAGTCCAGACTCATGGTGGCAAGAGAGAAGGTGGTTTCTAAAAACAAGTAATTTCTTTTTCAATTACACACAGAAAATGGGAGGGGCCTTAGTTTCAGTGTTTAATGGCAGTAGCCTGTAGTATCTAGCAGGTGAAATTACTAAGAGGGATAATTGATGCCCTCAAAAACTTGTCTCACTGAGCTTTGTACAATATATTTTGGAGTTCCCCAGCAAAGTTTGTGTGTTGAGACAGGTGATGACACATGCTGAGGCTTGTTTGGATTGAACATTTAGTAGCGTGGTCAGGCATGGAAACAACACAGCCGTCCCTTTTCACCAGAGGCGTTTATGTGCTAGGTCGCTCATAACTTGGTGCTCTCTCCTTTTCTCCCTGTTAACTGAAAGGCATTTGCTTTTAGTCCCTCCAGTGTTCTACTGGGAGACTAGACTTTAAAGGCAATTTGGATCCTGTCTTCTTCCACCCAGGAACCTATCATAATTCCCTTTGCCTGCTGTATCAAGTTCAAAATTCATAGTCTAATTCCAAACTTCAAACCATCTCCAGCCTTTTTCCTTTTAAACTCCAGCCAAAGAATACACTTTAGTCATTTTGATATCTTTTAAGTCCTAACTTTACCACCCTCAGTGAGCCCAGGATGTAGTGGGAAAAACTGAATGACCTAAATGTACCTAACATCTCTAGATGATCACCAAGAAATTTTCCTACTTCAGTGTTTAATATTTAGGGACCTTTATTCATTTCTAACAAAGGTGTTCTTTAATTGTTTCAAGCTTTTATGCCTTCTCAGTTCTTTAAAACCCTAGGATCAAATCCTGGACACTTAACTGTGCTGCAGTAGAAAGTTAGTAGATTTAGAGTCAAACTGATCTGGATTTGAATGACAGTGTTCTCGCTTACTGGTTTCTGACCTTGGGAAGCTTCCCTCTCCTTCCTGAGCCTTATTTCTTATTCATAGGCCTCTACATTGGTTTCCTCCTATGCCAAGAGGGTGATAACGTGAAGGAAGCACAGTGTCTTAGAAGATGTTCATTGGGAATTTTGGAACAGGCAACTGTAGTGGCCCCCTGGGTTACTGTTTTCTACCTTCTGAATTAAAAAACTGGTTGATAGAATTGGAATTAGGAGGAGAAAAAAAATCTGGCAGAAGTGAGCTTGGGAAGGAATGCTGTTCTGGAGAAATGTGCCTACAACTTACAGAAAAATGATAAATTCTGTAGGAAATTCTTACAAGCTAGCGTGCCCTCGGCTCTCAACTTGATTTCTCTAACAAACACTACCTAAGAGATATACTGTCTTAGGATGTCCAGTTATTGTATGTAACCGTCAAAAATCAATCTCATTCAAAAAGTTAGTGAACTGTGCCCAAAAGTACATTTGGTTTTTAGATAGTAATTTGTATTCGTAAGTTTTTCCAATAATCAGATTGGGTGAGTCATGATTCTAATCCTCACCTTCTTTATCCTTTCCACTTCCCCATGCCTTTGTGTGTTTGGGAACCTGAGACACACAGAGATAGTTTTGAAAAGGTGAGATTCACATCACAAGTTCTCATTAAGAGTTTTAGAATCAGGTAGCTCTACTCTGCTAAGGTAGCCCAGCTCTACTTGAGTGCAGAAAACTTCACACTGGGCAAGTTATTATACCTCTCTGAGCCTAATTCCTCAACTACAAATGATGTAATTTTCGTTACAGCTCAGGTGCAATGCCTGCTTTATAGTCAGCAATCAGTGACTTCTGGTTTCCTTTCCTGAGTGCCGAATTTGCATTCCAAGTGTTGTTTATTTACCTAATCTGTCTTACTGCAATATTTAAGTGGCTGGGTATTACAATGCATAAAGAATACATGAGATATTTTTAAACACACAGTGTCTTATACTCAGAGCTATCATGGAGCCAGTCAAAAAGAAAAATAACATCCAAATTGTTCACATTCAGCACATCATTTGGTTTGAGTGTAGCATATATATTTTAGTTTAGCATATAGTTTAGCATAACTGTAATATACAAGATACTCAGTAATTTCTGGGTTACAGCAACTCTTTACCTCCTTGGCCATGTTTTTATTTCTAAATCCCACCTATATTCTAGTTACACATCTGTCTCTATCTGAGGTAGCATGTCTGTCAGTGTGGTAAGGGAGCAAAGCTTTCTGTCATAAATGACATCACCTGCCCTGGCAGAAGTCATAGCCAAATGCACACACTCAATTCTGTACTCACTGATGCACTCTGTATTAGTTAATACTGTGGGCTGCAACGAGATCCCCATCTGAAATTAGGGAAACACATTGCAAGGGACATCTCTCAGAATAGCTATGCCCCTGAAAGGGTTTGGAGCAGCTGGGCTTCAGGAATGACTAGAACCATTAACTTGACTGTGATTCTTTTCTGTGCACTTCTGATTCACCTCTATCATCTTCCTCTGTAGACTAGTTACTTCATCCGTTTGGTCCATGTAGCAAAGTGTCACTAATCCAAAAGTTTGGAAAGAGACATAGCATTATGAAACTTGTCTCAGATGCCCATCCTGTATCAGGAGGGCATTATCACGTAAAGACATGGTGGCTTCTTCAAGAATGTATAGAAGAAATGGGGTGAGGAGAGGAGCATAGAAGGGGGGATGCTGAGCACAGAAGTCAGAGATGCACACACACTCATCTTGCCATCCTAGGCAGTGGGGTCTTAGCTGGAAATACAAAAAATACTTCTGAACTGAGAGGCTGGTTGCAGCCAAGCAATGGGAGATAGATGTGCAATTAAATAAGTGCAATAGAATGATGTTGGTTCTGTAGTAATGGGTAGAATGATGAGTGTAAATAATGGTGTAATAGTGGAAGTAAAGAATAGGTGGTCACTTAGGTTAGATTAGATACAACTAGCTTTGGCTAGCCATGATGGCTACACAGGTGAGCACATTGCAGGTTTTCTGAAACTACTTGAGCCAATTGAATTACTGCTAGGTATTTTGGGGACTAGAGAGAACATTGGCGTTTTCTGAGGATAAGTGTCATGTGCTCTTTCATTAAGAGGCCTCTTCAACAGAATACCTTTTTGAATTATTCACTGAGTTCTTTTACAAAGAAAAAAATTAAGGAGACCTTGAGGTTTTTTGAGTTTCAGCCACTTGTGTTTTAGAGAATTCAAATGACCTAAATATTAGTTTTCTTTGATAGCTCTCTGAAACGGGTATTAAAAAGACCTCCAATAAGACCAGTTCATCAACTTGTTTTACAGTTCGACAGGCCTGACACTAAACTGCTGTTAATCACAAATCCCTTGCTTTTAGTTGAAGATACTCCTTTTCTTGTCATGGGTCCCGGGAGCCTTTCCCTAGTCCCCCATCCATTGCTGTCATAGTGACCTGCAGTAGGTCCATAACTGGTTTCATCTTTATCACCCCCCAGTTTGCTCTTTTTCGGATGGAGCATACTGATCCCTTTTCTATCTTCTATCACATAGGGTTGGCTTTCTGTGTCTTATTCTGGAAAATTTGCATCCTTGAAGCTTGGATATCTCAGGCTGAGCACAGTTTGCTCCAATCTCATGATTGGTTTTGTTTTTCACACCCATATTTTACCAAGGCTTTTATTGTCCTTAGTCTTTTCTCTCTCCTTTGCTTGCTCTGACCTTCATTTTTAAATTAAGTTTCTCATTTTTAGATAATTAATTTCATATGCACTTAAAGGTATTACTACCCTTTACCAAGTCTCCCTCAGTGGTAATATCATCTTGTAATGCTATTGTACAGTTTCATAACCAGGTTATTAACATTGATAGGCAAGATATAGAACAATTGCTGTGACATTTTGACTTTTACATTCCTTCTCATTATTCTTTTCCTTAACTCATCTCTTAGACTCTTTTCTCACTCTTCTCAGTAACATGTTTAATTGTCCCAGGGATTTAACTGAGTCAGGAGGCCTAAAAGACTTGTCTTCTTGTTGACAGGTTGGCTAAATTCTCATGGTGTCAGAGTTTCTAAGAATAGTAGCTTCCATTTTTAAGTTATTTGCCTAGAATAAATGTCATTTGGATGGGTCAAGGTGGCCTTAAAATTAATGGGAGAACCTGATGTGCTGTGAGTTCTGCTTGCCTTAATTTCAGGCAAGTCACATTAGGAAGAAGAAGGTGTGGGTGCTGCTATGGTACTGATCCTTTGAGACTGAAGAGGCCTAATCAAAAGTGCCTTCTCCCCCAAAGGACAGTTCTGCACAGAGGATGTGGACGAGTGCCTGCTGCAACCCAATGCCTGTCAGAATGGAGGCACTTGTACCAACCGCAACGGAGGCTATGGCTGCGTGTGCGTTAATGGCTGGAGTGGCGATGACTGCAGTTTGAACGTCGATGACTGTGCCTATGCCTCCTGTACTCCAGGCTCCACTTGCATTGACCGTGTGGCCTCCTTCTCTTGCATGTGCCCAGAAGGAAAGGCAGGTAAGGCCAGCATGGGGGCAGAGCTGGATGTAAGGGAAGTGGCCCACGAGCATTCAGGATTTCTGCCTTCTCTTTCTTCCTGTAACTGTGTCCTTTTAATTACCATCAGTAGGAAGATATTGCTCGCAATTGTTCTGGAAATGTAATTGCTAGCCAAAGTGCTACAAAGTTAGTCTTTTTTCCTTGGCACTTTTGGCTCTCATCTCAACTTTATGTACCTTAGTGTTTCATCCTAAAAAATCAAAGTCACTATTGCCTTGGAAGCATATGTTGACTTTAAAATCTTAGACTGAAAAACACCTCAGAAATTAAGACAAAATTACTAATAAATGGATGTAGGGACTTCATATTAAGGAGAAATAACTTATTTGCTCAGGAGGAGTTGGTAGAAGAGAAGCATTTAAATGCATTTCAACTCTCAGTGTCTACAGAAATATTTCTCTAAGGGAGGATTGTTACTGACTAAAGAGTTAACATTGCTCTAGCTTCTCAGTTTAACAGCTTCTGGTTCTAGGAGTAGAGAGCAATGAAAGGAGGAATGTGATGGAAGAAGATAGCTTAGGTGAGAGAACTGTGTGCCCAGCAATTTTGAAATATTCTCGTATCTAGGCCTTTCCAAAAACTCCACCTCCAGCTTTGTAGAAGAAGCCTTAGCTACCTGTTCTTAAGCTAATTGCAGAGTGGAAAATCCAGTTCCCATGTGAACTATGCAGAACATGGGCCTGGTAATATCTTCAGAGTCCTGAGGGCACTTGAGCCAGGAATGTTGACATTATTAAAAGGCTGCCCAAGCATAGGCTGACGATGTTGAACTAGTTTTTTTTTTCTTTCTGAGGCTAGTGAAATGCTGGTGCCCCATAATCACCAGGTAGCATGATTTTGGAAAAGTAAGTTGCCAAATAAAATATAGGATGCATGCAGTATTTTGGACATACACTAGAAAATTATTTATTGTGTTTTTCAGAAATTACTATTGAACTGGCATCCTCAATTTTTGTCTGCTGAATCAGGCAGTGCTACAGGAAGGTTATTGCCATTTTCCTATCTCTGTCATCTATCCATCTTACTTTATGGCCTATAGAATACTCTACCCTTGAGGAGAGGTCCAGCCAAGGGTTAGGGTGAGGATACCAGGGTTGTCTGCAGAAATTCCTTATTTGGCAGCATGTTCCTCATGTAGGATAGCCAAAGGGAAGTTGCCTCAATCTCCATAGTGGATTTTTATGAGCCAGTATATGGTTTTCCCTCCTCCGTAAGAGAGATAACTCTTCCCTAAGTAGGGACATTTTCTCTTTCTTCTTGCTAAAGGTCTCTTGTGTCATCTGGATGATGCATGCATCAGCAATCCTTGCCACAAGGGGGCACTGTGTGATACCAACCCCCTGAATGGACAGTATATTTGCACCTGCCCACAAGGCTACAAAGGGGCTGACTGTACAGAAGACGTGGATGAGTGCGCCATGGGTGAGTTGGAGGAAACTTTCCTCGTGTGTGTGTTGTGCTCAGCAAGAACTTAAATTGAAGCACCTTTTACTCTAAGAGCATGTTTGCCCCAACCTCAGATCTCCTGTTACCTGCCCACTGTTTACAATACAACTAACCTTTCAGTGTAATCATATAGTCTGTTTTGGGAATCGAAATATATGGATGGTCTATACTTGACTCTTGATACAAAGCCGTGTCTTAGTAACGGGTTGGGGAAAAGAGCAGCAGAGACACACAAGACTTAAGATTACCCTAATCTTATTACCTTTTGAATTTGTTACAGAGAAAATAGGAAATTGAGAAGCAGACCATTACATGCCTGGCCCTAATGCTTGTAACAATCAGACCCATATCTGTGGAACTTCTCCATCAAGTGCTTTGATCCTCATTATTGGTTCTTGTCTCTTTCAGCCAACAGCAATCCTTGTGAGCACGCAGGAAAATGTGTGAACACAGATGGTGCCTTCCACTGTGAGTGTCTGAAAGGGTATGCAGGGCCTCGTTGTGAGATGGACATCAACGAGTGCCACTCAGACCCCTGCCAGAACGACGCCACCTGTCTGGATAAGATTGGAGGCTTCACATGTCTGTGCATGCCAGGTACTTGGGTCCGTCTGTGCGTGGGGTCCAGACAGGAGGCACTCACCTGTGCTTCTCTTAGGTGGGACATTCAGGATATGTGGCCATTCTGTGACCTCTGTCATCATTTCCTTCCCAGTAGTGATGGGGCTCCCAGCCAAGGGACTCATAAGGAGTGAGGCAGTGCTAGAATTCTTAGAGCTATGACGACCCAGTTAAGCAAGCCCATTATGTCAAAACTCAAAAAATTTTAGAAATGAAGGTTTAATGCAAGTATTCTTTAATTTAATAAAATATTTACCATCAGAATCTTTCAAATAGCAGGCTTTCCTGATTCCCTTGTATACTACAAATACCATGCCATTTCATTTATAGAAATTATTTTTATCCATAGTTATATAGGAACCAGCCATTTATCCTGAGTGATGTGCACATGACTAATTAGTTGTATTCTGGAGCTCTTCTGCAGAGACCATTCCTTGAACTCTCAGAGAGCACAACTAGTCCAGGTCACAAGGGAGGCTGACAGTGTCTGTTTGCTTCATTAATGATGCTAGACACTCTAGCCTTGAGAGACCCTCCTGACCTTGACTTACACCCTGAGAACTGCAATATCTCCACTTCAGCTGGTCTTTAGGAATGAGCAGTGGGGATGCTATGGGCCTGTCACTGTCCTGAAAGCAAAGCCTGGACTGGTGAGAGAATGTGGCACTGTCTTCACTGGCATGCTAGATCGTACCAGTGTCTTCAGAGGTAACCTCTTCCCCCTCTTCACAGTGACAGGGATATCCCAGGGGGTTCCCCTGTGTGATGGAACAGTCACTGTCATGGCACAGTCCCCATGTCCTCTGCAGAAATGTTCATGCTTATAGAGGATATCGTCATCTTTGCGAGTTTGGACTTTCTTGTGTGGAATGTGCCTTTCTTTCTCTCTTAAGCCACTTGTGTGGTCTGTTTTGTTCAGGTTTCAAAGGTGTGCATTGTGAACTGGAGATAAATGAATGTCAGAGCAACCCTTGTGTGAACAATGGGCAGTGCGTGGATAAAGTCAATCGCTTCCAGTGTCTGTGTCCACCTGGTAAGTGCCCACACTTGCCCCTGTTATCCTTGAAAGCACAAAGCTGACTGACCACAGAGAGGGAGAAAGGAGAGAATGTGTGTGGGCTGTACATGAGGAAGTCATTAAAGTGAGCACTTCAGAATAGGAGAGTGTGTGTACAGAAATGGGGAATTTGTTTCAGCTAGTGTGTTTTTCAAATCCTTTGTGGCCAGAAGTCCAAGTCTACTCTGAAAGGCCCATGACCTCTCTGTCTGTGTGTATATTTCAGAAAGTTCATATCTCATAGAGGCCTTAGTTTTAGGCTATTCAGGATTTTATTTTTCCCCCATGGGTCATAGCCTTGAAGCCCATTGGTAAGATTATTATTTTTAGACATTTCACCTCTGAGTTAGAAACAGACAAAAGTCAATTTTTTGGAAAGAGTGCTCTGCCTCTCCTTTTGCTCCCCAAAGCTGTTGTTGAAGACATGCCAAATTTTCTACCATACACTGTAGCATCTCTCATTGTTTTCAGAGAGAAGGTCCCAGTTCTTCTGATGCTACACTCACTTGTTGAAATGCTTCACCTGTAACCATTCAATCTCTATTTTAACTAAAAGGTGAAATATGCAAGGGGGGAGGAAAAGGCGTGGAGACACACATGGGTTGATGCCCTGGGCTTCACCCAATCATCCTAGTTAGCTGTTGGAGAGAATAATTTTACTTTTGCTAACTCTTTGGTATAAGCCCTGTGAATAACTTATCCTAACACTCCTTGAACATCATTTCATAAGGAGGACATAGGATAATCCTTTGTCTTGTGTCATCACTGTCCCCATTTAAGGTTTCACTGGGCCAGTTTGCCAAATTGATATTGATGACTGTTCCAGTACTCCATGTCTGAATGGGGCAAAGTGTATCGATCACCCAAATGGCTATGAATGCCAGTGTGCCACAGGTAAGATTTTTCTCATTTTTACTCCCCTGGTAGGTCCACCCGAACAAAACAGGAGACTGTCCTCTTCCAGCTGCCTGCCAGGCCATTCCACTGACAGGGGCTGTTCTGTGTTGAAATAACTTCTTCCAGCATATTTTTTGCTGCTCTCACTGTTTTACTCTACAACACCTGCCTCCTTCTTCACAATAGTGGCCTGGCCTGGGCATTTCCATTTGGTGTCCATGTCTTTCTGAGACAGATTTTGGCAGTGGTGAGTTTCCAGCTGGCTTGACTTACTCCTCTGGGAAAGGGAAGAATTCCATCTGAAAGCTATTTTTCACTGGGGCTTCTCAACAGGAGGTCTGTCACTGTGTTCCTTGAGGCAAGTGGTAGAACAGGGGCCCAGAAATCTAAGGGCAATTGTGTGCAAGTGCAGAGGTTTTCTGTCTGAAAGACAAATCATGCAGTGAGAGTCAGGTGTGTCTCTGGACAGGTGTGAGAGCTCTGTCTGGGGAACTTTGTATACTGTTTCCTGAATTCTGCTATGAGAGTGGGAAATGATCTGTTTATAAATGTTCTGCTTATCTGATCTGTGGCCACATTTCCCAGTTGGGAGTGATCTGAATGAGCCAAATGTCCCCTGTTACTCATTTGCTTCTGCACAGACCAATATCGTGGAAAAAGACTAGAAATGATTAGAAAAGGGGATTTTCCAATTTATTTTTTATCCCACTGCTTAAGAGAGAAAGAAATTAGGAATATAATTCAAGACTTTTTTTTAATTTTAGAAAATGGGTTCTTAAATACTTGTAAACATTATGTGCATTTCTTTCTGATCACAGAGAAGCAAACTATACCACAAAAATAAACAATATTTTATTAGTACTAGAATATTACCACTTATTAGGCCTACTTGGATTAGGCTTAAACTTCCTTCTTTCTTCATGAACTGTCGTCTCTGGTTGGAGAAGTTCCAGGTTATGTCGTCCTCTGGCCAGATACCACTTGGGGAGAATAATGCTCATGGGAGGGAAGTTGAAAAATCTTGAAGTCATGTTTAAAAGGGAGGAGAACCTTACTGGAGTCTTCTCGAAGAGACTTAATGTTGCATGGAGTTTTTATTTGTCCCTTTTTCATTCAGATGTTTATAATTTGTTCATTTTATTCAGCAAGTATTTATTAAAAGCTTACTACATATGCATAAGATTCTGGGAGGAGTTGAGAGGAATAAAGGGGAGTTTTCTGTCCTCTAAAGTTAGAATTGGGAAGATAAGGTTCATGAAACCATTCTTATATTACCTATATGTTAGGTTTGGGAGGAAAGGACTATAGAGGTAAATAAATACAGGAAAAATATTGAGAGTTATTCCCCATGAAGCCCAATGAGGAATGAAGATTCAGTTAAAGCATTTCTGCAATGAAAGCATTGATCACTAGAAAAAGATACTTGGATTCTACACATTCAATTTAAAGAACTGGTATTAATCCTCCATGGCAGTCCTGGGAGAGCTCTTGGCTCTTACCTTGCATTCTACAAATGTGATAACTGAAGCTCAGAGTCAGAGTAACTTAGCCAACATCAGAGTCATTAAGTGGCAGAGTCAAGACTGGCATCTAGTTCTGTCTGGATTTTTTAAGTACAACTCTCTAGGCCTGCCTTATAAATCAGTGCAAATAGTTTCACCTGTGCATTCCTGCATTATGAATTAAGGCATGGGAGATATGGGGATAAGTGGATGTAGCTACATTTATGTTCGGGTGTAGAGTATCAGCTTTGGTTTTTAATCCTTCTTGGTAAAATTCCTCCCAAGGATTCACTGGTGTGTTGTGTGCGGAGAACATTGACAACTGTGACCCTGATCCCTGCCACCATGGCCAGTGTCAGGATGGGATTGATTCCTACACCTGCATCTGTAACCCCGGGTACATGGGCGCCATCTGCAGTGACCAGATAGATGAATGTTACAGCAGCCCGTGCTTGAATGAGGGCCGTTGCATTGACCTGGTAAATGGCTATCAGTGCAACTGCCAGCCAGGCACCTCAGGTAAGCCTGCTCTCTTTACATTTCCTTTGGAGTTTTCACTGCTTCTCAAAAGCAGTTTACACAGATGTCACAGACTTTCTTGGCATATGCTTAGATACCCAGAAAAACAATCCTTTGTCTGCGAAGCACAGCCAAAGCCACAGCCAGAAACATCTCAGAGGGAGATGGCTCTAGACAGGGAAGGAATTAGAGACAATAGCTTTACAAAACTGGTGGTTTTATGTATGTGTTTTCCCTAAAAGGAGGCCTACCACTTCAAAAAACTGAAATTATTATTTAAAATTGAAAACCCTCTTGCTTTTGTGGCTTGATTTTATTGTCTTCTTTTTTTATAACCTCTACCACAGACTAATACAATTATTTCTCCCCCGTCCTTTCCTTTAACCCTCCCCCCTTTCTTTCCAGTAATTTTCTCTTTAATTCAGAGTCCAGTATCTTTAGTATAACATTTTTCTTCTGCCACTTGTCTCTGTTGGACATTGGGCATTTGTGAGGATTGTAAGGGAGAGGAGAGACTTTGCAGCACACCCTGGTCACTGGAAATTAGAATGTAGAACCACCATTCTTGTCCCAAGTTCATTGCTGTTTCCTGACTCCGGCCAAATGATTGTTAGTTGTGAGGGCATGCTCCTCCTTGCTGGGGAATGGTGAATTATTTTCTCGGGCAGCAGCATTTCACAGGTTCCACTGGACTCTGTTCTACTTATTGGAGGAATAGTCATGGTCACAACTGTGCTTAATGGACAGAGAAGTGCTGTGTCTCAGATCAAAGGCAAATGTATTAGTGGAAGATTAACTAGTATGTACCTTTGTTACAAGGGAACCTGCCAGAACAACGGAGCGATTTATTGAGAGCTCACTCTGAATTTAAGGAAAAGGGCCTAGGTAGGGGGCAAAGGTGGGGGAGGTGGTTAGCTGCTTTCATTTTAGTTTGTTATTTCCAATTGCATTCCTTCAAACTTGTCAAGGGCCCTGGGCCTCATCCAGGACCTCATACATGCCAAGTTTGAAAACAAAGTCCTTTCTGAGTTGTTCAAGCATATGAAAAACATCCCATGCCTTCACAGTTGAAAATGCCTCCCCCCTCCCCACATTTAGATAACTGACTAAAAGGGCTGAATAGATCTTTGTGAAACCTTCCAAAAGCAATTTGCTTCCGGGCTGGTCCCCAGACATGAGAAATTGCAGTACGAAAAGAAATTTGAGAGATTTACAAGCAATTGAATGGATGCCTTTAGAATGGCGGGGCTGTTTTAGGCTTTGCTATCATTGCCATTATAACAAGCCTACTGGAACCTGGGTGAGTGGCGGGCTAGCAAGCACTTTGTTTTCTCTGTGATGATATCATTATGGCAGGATGTATCAGGTGTGTTCCCTGGGGAGGACAGCAAAGGCAACCACTGAGAAAGGCAAGAAGTAGATGTGAGTGGTGTGCAGGCAGCACAGAGAGGCAAGGCCCAGAATCTCTTGGAGAGCTGCCAGATTCAGTGCTGTGGCTGTCAGCAGAATTCAAGCAAAGAGACCCAGTCAACATAAAGGAATCTTGTACTGGGCAGAGAAGGACCTGGCAGGTAGGGCCCTGGGTGAAAGCATTTGTTCACTTAATCCTTATGAATAGACTCGAGTTCTAGAGTAAAAATCCATGACCTATTCATAACACGGTCCTAGGCTGGCAGGTTGGAGCATGGATGGGTGTGTAGATAGAAAGGATACTTTACAATTTGCTGGTTATGGTTGAGGTTTCTCACTCACTGGCACTGCGAGTGGGAGGTGCTACCGAGAATGACTTCTTATGCTTTCTGTCACCTGTGCTTGTGTGATGGGACATTGTTTTAAGTAAGTTATTTTTGGTTTGAAGTCACAGAATTCAATTTGACTAGCTTAAAGAATTATGAACCACCACACAAATGACAACAAAACAAGCAGAAGGAATTTAGTGAAAGCACAAAAAAGCACCTCATGGGTTTCAGGTGAGTTTGGAACAATAAAGATTTGCAGAGATTAGCAGAAGCAGGGCCATTTGCAGACCACAAGTCACACAATTCATATTCCTACATTCCAATGGGAAAACCCCATTGGCCCAGCTTGGGGGTGGAGTCAGACTGGACCACCTGGCTTTCTGGGGCCTGCTTGGTTAAATGGGGGTTAGTGGGTTTGTCAGGGCTAGAGACTTTTCTTAAAGGAATTCACTTGTGTACAAGAGTATGGAAACCCTTGCCTCCTTTGTGGCTAGAGAGGCAGTAGTATAGCCTCATCACTCACAGAGTGACCAGTATGGTGTGGTGAAGAGTGTGGAATCCAGAGACCTGGGTGCACGTCCCATTGTGCTGCTGTGATTGTGTAAGTCATGGAAAAGTGGGTGTAGCACAGCTTGGTTTGGTGGTTGAGTTAGGAGGTTAGGGAATATGTAAAGTGGGGGCAGAATAGTTTGCACATAATAATGGCTCAATACATTTTGAACTAACTATTGCTATTAATCAATATTAATACAAAGTGAATCAAAATTATGGCATTTGTCATGAGAATTTCTTATCATTCTTATTACAAGGCTATGTTTTTTAGATTTTTTAAACTAATAGAATATTCTTTTGTAATACCCAAAAAGCATCACAAAATTCATGTTAAATAAATCATGAAATATCAAGAGTATTTTTTAGTAAATAGTACTAACAATAATGACTAGTATATCTCTACTGTTTAGTTACCCATATTTTTGATTAAACCTTTCTTAACACAGCCAAACTCTACAGTTTATTCTGGGAATGGTCCAGGAGGAAGGCAGCATGCTCCAGGAAGTTACCAGACTCTTTAAAATTTATCCTGAACTTTAGCCCATAATAGAGACTGTCAGTTTGAAGCTGCCAGCAGTGGATACAAGTTCCAAAATTCTGATTTTCATGTGAAATCTAGAATTTTATCTTTAGAACACAACAGCGTTAGTGGTCTGTCTGTCTGTTTTGAAATGACAAGTTTACTTCTTTCACTTAATGTGAACTAAACATTTAGATCCAAACTGCTCTGTTTGTGTGTCAGTAGTTCTTTCAGTGAAAATGGGATTCAAGAACAAAGCAACTATTTTTGTTCAAAACTGAAACAATCACACAACCGCTTTTCCTGGAGACAACTTTGTACTTTGGCATCTACACAGAGCAGTGAAAGTATAGTCAAGGGTCAAGATGTAATAAAATGACTGGCCCAGCTAGAGTGGCTCAGTTGGTTGAGTGCTAGCCTGCAAACCCAAGTGTTGCCAGTTCGATTCCCACTCAGGACATGTGCCTGGGTTGCGGGCCAGGTCCTGGGGGTGGGTACATGAAAGGCAACTACACACTGCTGTTTCCCTCCCTCCCTCCCTCCCTCCCTCCCTCTCTCCCCCACCATTCTCTTAAATAAATAAATAAATGAATCCTGAAAAGATGTAATAAAATGATAAAGTTAATAATTTTGACTATTTCACCAAAGCCATTCTTAAGGGAATCTTTTTGTTTGGTCTTCACTGAGTGCCCAAAGATGAAGAACACAGTGACTGCTACTACAGTGTGGTACCCACTGCTCTGATTCCTGCTGCGAGGCCACCTTCCTGCTGAGTTCTGCCGCTATTGCTTTTGCACACCTGTGCAAGTGCCACCACAGGGGAAAAGTCAAATAGTGGCTTAGTGTGATGAATAAGGCCCACTGGCCCTCATGATTGCCCTGACAGGGGCTAGGGGGGGCTGCCCTTTGAGAATTGCTACTGTATCCCGAGTTGGCTGGATACTCTTTGGCTTTCTTAACAGCATCACAAGCAGACATCCTTGGTACTTCTGTGGTAATAAACCTCTTTGGTTTATCCTTACAGGTATTAATTGTGAAATCAATTTTGATGACTGTGCAAGTAACCCTTGTGTCCATGGAGTCTGTATGGATGGAGTTAATCGTTACAGTTGTGTCTGCTCACCAGGATTCACAGGTAATGCTTTTTGTTGGGAGGTTCCACCTTCAGTCCCATTACTTTGGTAAAAGGGCATCTGAAGGGTCATTACTTTTCAAATGTTTCCTATTTCTTTGTCTTTTGAGAAGTCAGATGTTTGTTTCTGTGCTTCTCTGGCCCAGTTTTCTGCTTACAGGCCTTCCTAAACTGTAACATGAAACTTTTCATTACCTAGGGTTTTGAGACCATGTATTTATAGCTACTTGAAAAGAACTTATAGTCAGACTCTGAGTTTCTGTCACTACTGTACTTGAGTTATATATCTTGCAAAGCCACCTTTCCTTTTCTACACTTCGTAGTGAATGCTTTCTGTAATGGCATAGCCAAGGCAAAATTCTATGAGAACCCGAAATGCTTTTTTCTGAGTACTTATTATAGGAGCTTGCTGGATGCAGCCAGAACCAAGCTCACTTGGCTAGCACAATTGAGACTTTTTTCTCCCCAAGAGGAACAAAATAAAATGCCTAAAATAAAATTGGCTAGAATCCTTCTTAAATTATAAGCACCTAGAGCATTTATACATGTACACATGTGTGCACACACATCTTCTCTTTTCTCTCTTGTTGTTAATCAGATTCACTATCTTGCTTGATCAAAAAGTGCTAGAGGCTACTGAGGAAACCTGAGGCCTCTTCACACCTTGGCATCATTAATGGTGTGAAATCATTAATGGTGTTGCCATTAACATCATTAATGGCAACATCAGAGGGCATATACTCTGCCTATCCTATTCTTTCTAGATAGTTCTATTCACAAGAAGGCCCTAACATAAGATGTGACCATTTAATAGATACCACATGGTCATTTGCAACCAATGTGAGGAACTTCCCTCAGAGCTTTTTAAACTATAATGTCAAAAGGCAGTTGGATCCAAATAAAGTAAATGTCTGCCTCTTGCCTGCTGGGAACTTACAGTTTTCTGTATTGCACAGTTCTTTTCTCCTGCTTTGTATGATTGTGGGTGCTGGAGAGGAATGTTGGCGGCCCACATGGGTCGCCGTAATCCCTGTTCAGTGGGAGATCACTCAGGAGACAGGCATAATGAAAGCTGTCATACTTAGTGCCCAGCACTGCTTGTGGTAGCCAGATGTACTTCTGTGTCCTGAAACTTATTACTCCAAGGTTAAGTGACAATCAACAGAATACACAAAAGTTCTTCTGGATAGGATATTAAGTACAATTTTTTAAAGTGGGTAATTTATTTGAACAAATAATAAAGGAGAATTTCCCCAATCTGGCAAAGGAAATAGACTTCCAGGAAATCCAGGAAGCTCAGAGTCCCAAAGAAGATGGACCCAAGAAGAAACACACCAAGGCACATCATAATTACATTAGCCAAGATTAAAATGAAGGAGAGAACCCTAGAAGCAGCAAGAGCTAAGGGGACAGTCACCTACAAAGGAGTTCCTATCAGACTGTCAGCTGGTTTCTCAAAAGAGACCTTACAGGCAAGAAGGGGCTGGAAAGAGGTATTCCAAGTCATGAAATCCAAAGACCTACAACCAAGATTGCTCTATCCAGCAAAACTTGAATTTAGAATGGAAGGACAGATAAAGTGCTTCTCAGATAAGACCCAATTCAAGGAGTTCATCATCACCAAGCCCTTATTATATGAAATGTTAAAGGGACTTATCTAAGAAAAAGAAGTTAAAAAAACATGAACAGTGAAAGGACAGCAAACTCACAGTTATTAACAACCACACCTAAAACAAAAGCAAACTAAAAGGACAGCTAGATCAGGAGTGGAAACATAGAAATGAAGATCTCAAGGAGGGTTAGCAATAGGGGAGTGGGAGGAGGAGAAGGGGAGAGAAGGTACAGAAAATGAGTAGCATAGACAGTAGGTAGAAAATTGATGGGGGGGCAAGAATAGTATGGGAAATATTCAATCTAAAGAACTTGAGACACATGGTCATAAACTAAAGGGGGGGTAATGGTGGGGAGGGGGGGTAGGGTGGATTGGAATGAAGGGGGGAATAAGAGCAACTGTTATGGCATAATCAAGAAAAAAAAGAAAAAAATAAAGTGGGTAATAAAAGGGCATTAAATGAAGTGCCTAATGTCATTTAATTGTCATTGCTATTACCATGCCTACAGTATTGATGAGAAAACCAGAGCTTAGAGAGGGTGAGTGATATTACCAGTGCACTATAGCTAGGAGTCCAACCCAGGGGTCCTGCTGGAGAGCCCATGCTCGTTCCCACTTCACTGGGCAGCGCCTGTCGTGGTTTCTTTTTAGGTATATAAGCCTTAGACTAGATTTCTTCCTCCTACTCCACCTCCTCTCAACCCTCCTCCTCCTTCTTCTTTTGGAAAAGTCAGTGAATCATAGTTTCTTTTTAACATTTAGCAAACCAGGAAGGTCAAGGAGGGAGGACATGGACTAAAAATATTCTAAAATAAACGTAAGGTGTAGCATGAGACTACATAACCAAGAAATGGAATGTTTTGGTTACTGGGTGGTACCCTGTTCTTGGAACTGTTTTCTAGTCTTTTGGGAGGTTTTTGTTTTTTTGGCGGGGGAGGGGGGAGCTAAACCAGCTGCTGAAAATATCAGAGACAATTGTGGTGTACACTCGAGCTGTGAATGTGAGGTGCTTTCTTCTTTCCTCTGTTTCATTTCATACTACTTTCTGAACAAATGTAAGGGAATTTTTTAAATTAAATTTTTTGGGGTGAAAGTGATTAATAAAATTATATAAGTTTCGAGTGTACAGTTCTATAATACATAACCTGTGCATTGCATTGTGTTTATCACCCAAAGTCAAATCTCCTTCTGTCACCATGTTTGATACCCTTTACCTTCCCCCACACCCCTTTCCCTCTGGTAACCACCAAACTGTTGTCTGTGTCTATAAGGTTTTGTTTATCTTACTTGTTTGTTGCTTTCCATCTTATATTCCACATATAAGTTAAATAATATGGTTCTTGACTTTTTCTGTCTGAGCTGTTTTGCTTAGCGTGATATTCTCAAGATCCATCCATGTCATTGCAAATGGCAGCATTTTCTCTTTTATGGCTAAGTGGAATTTCATTATATATATATGAGGTCTGTCTAGAAGGTATCAAGCCATGTAATATAAAAAATAGAGACATTTATTGAAGAAGATACAAGAAACATTGTACATAGGACAATGATGTCTCAGTCCCCTTCAAAGCAGGCATCTTGGGACTTCACACAGTTCTCCCAGTGGCCATCAGCTGCTCCATCATATTTTCTTGAGTCTCTTTGACAGTCCGAAGTCTCTTTCCTTTCAAAGATGATTTTACTTTTGGGAAAAGCCAGAAGTTGGGGGGCATCACATCTGGGCTGGGCTGTAGGAGGGCTTGGGTCACCTGGGTGATTTGATGTTTTGCAAAAAACTCTGCATAAGATGTGATGCATGAGCAGGCATGTTGTTGTGATGAAGCTACCAATCACCAGTTGCCCATAGCTGTGGTCTTCTGAGTCATCCAAATAGTTCCCATGGAGGAATGTTCAAGCTTAACACAAAATCTGATGCACATTCATTGTTCTACTGGCTCAATCATTTTGAATGTGACAGCCACACAGTACATGTGCTCACTCAGTGATGTCTTCCACCCCCACTGACTACTACAATGAAGTTGTCATTGTTTATACATGCACATCCCTCCTTGGCTTCCAGCTTACATCAGTGTAGTGCAAACCCTTCTCGTTGTATTAACAGTGGTTGGACTTTTTCTGGACAGACCTCATATGCACCACATTTTTATCCAGTTATCTATTGAGAGACACTTCAGTTATTTCTATGCCTTGGCCACTGTGAATATGTTGCAATGAATACACGGTACATATATCTTTATGAATAAGTGGGTATTCAAAAGATATATGCCCAATAAATGGGTATCTTCTGGGTATAAACTTTTTGAGTAGATACCCAGAAGAGGAGTTGCTGGGTCATATGGTAACTGTAATCTGAGTTTTTTGAGGAACCTCCATACTGTTTTTTACAGTGGCCGTACCAGTTTACATTCCCACCAGCAGTGAATGATGGTTCCTTTTACTCCACAACCTCTTCAACACTTGTCATGATTTGTCCTGTTGATAATAACCATTCTAACAGGTGTGAGGTGGTATCTCATTGCAATTTTGATGTGAATTTTCCTAATAACTAGTAAAGTTGAGCAACTTTTCACATATCTGTTGGTCATTTGTATATTTTGGGGGGAGAAGTATCTCCTCAGGTTCTTTGACTGTATTTAATTGGGTTATGTTGTTGTCATTGAGTTGTATGAGTTCTTTTGGATATTAACTCCAAAATTATCAGAGCTGCTGTTTGCAAATATCTTCTCCTATTTGGTGGTTTGCCTTTTTGTTTTGTTGAAGGTTTCTTTTGCTGTGAAGAAGGTTTTTAGTTTGATATAGTCTCATTCAGTTATTTTTGCTTTTACTTCCCTTGACTTTGAGGTGAAATTCATAAAATCTTCTCTAAGACCAAGGTTCATAAGTTTAGAACTTGTGTTTCTTCTATGTAATCTATTGTTTCAGATGTTATATTTAGGCCTTTGATCTATTTTGAGTTCATTTTTGTGTATGGCAACAAACAACAGCCTGTTTTATTCTTTTGCATGTTGCTTTCCAATTTTCCCAGCACTGTTTGTTGAAGAGGCTTTCTTTTTTCCATTGTATGTTTTTATCTTGTCAAAAATCACATACTCGTATACATGTGGGTTTATTTCTGGACTCTCAATTCTTTTCCATTGGTCTGCATGTCTGTATTTCTGCCAGTTCCATACTGTTTTAATTATCATCACTTCATAATATACTTTGAAGTCAGAATGTGATACCTCCAGGTTTGTTCTTTTTCTCAGGATTGCTTTGACTTTGGTGGGTCTTTTGTGGTTCCATACAAATCTGATGATTTTTTGTTCTATTTCTTTTGAAAAATGTTATCGGGATTTTGATGGGGATTGCCTTAAATCTGTATATTGCTTTGGGTAATATGGCCATTTTAACT